ATGCCTTCATGGAGGACTTTTTATGGGAAACTAGCTCGTATACACGTTACACATGGGGAAAACCACGAAAACGCCCATGCAGCCAGCCCGTTCGCGGGATTCGAACCTCGGACCGAACTACCAGTGTTCAGCGGCGTTAGCGCTCGGCCGGCCGCTGGTGGGCCCCTATAATGACTCTTCTCATTAGGGAACAGTAATAAAGGAGGGCAGAAAAGTGATTTGGATCGTGCCTTTCTAAAGGGCTTTACAACCTTTTTTTTCGCTGTTCTAAAGGATGTTTTCCGCGAAAAAGCGCGAATTAGGGAACTCAACAACATGTTTCAGCTGTTTTTAGAATGATGTCTGTTCTGTGTGTGAAAATCTTTTCATCCACAATAACTCTTAGTGGAACTTCCAAAAATTCCCATTTTCCATATTTAAGCTTTCTACATTCGTACATAAAGAGTTGATTAGATTTTGGGCAAAATTGGACAACTAGAAGTGGTACTTTGCTTGAAGCTCATAAGGCCTGTTTACACTACTTATACTCCAACCAAATACACTACATATACTCCAAGGAGCAAAACTTGTCAGCAGTCAATGTGTGAATGACATTTTTACAAATTTGAAAATGTGCATATAAAGCATATTTTTATTACCCATTTATTAATTTTTAATTAAATCATTAATTGTAATCCATTTAATTAGATTAGCTTAAAATATCTCTCTATATAAAATTGAATAAATAAAAATCTTATAAATTATATGCATATTTTATTAGAAATTTTCCTTTTATTAAAGCAGAAATATCAAAATTTACTAAAACATTATTGATGCAAATATTTTAAATCACAAATAATCATAGAGAAAATTAGAATCCATAAATCATATATATTTAGGTTTCTGAATTCTGATTTCTACAGAAAAATAAAATTTAAAAAAAAATTGAATTTTAGATACAGAAGAATAGTACATATAATGATCATAAAATTACTTATAATTTCTTTACAAATAATGAATATAAATATTTATAGGTAGCATGCTTAGTAAGATTAAGCTCTAAATTATGGAATTTTTTAAATAAAGTTTCTTTTCCCATTATATTTAACTTTTCAATTAGAACTGCTTCAAGAGTTTCATGCCTAAATATGGTTAAAATCCGGTCTTATCTTTTTTTCTTTTAATGGAAAAAAATTCTTTTGCAAGCTGTATTGGAACTTAGTATAAAAAAAGATATAAAGTAAAAAAAAGATATGAATGGGTGCATTAAATACAAAGTAATGCTTTTTGCTTTAATAATAAGCAAAAACCACTACTTTGTATTTAATGCACCCATTCATATCTTTTTTAATTTTACAGTTTTTCTCCATACTATATCAAATCTGCATCTTCTTACTTTCCAGTTTTGGCATTTAAGACTTTTATATCAATGGGAACAACTAGATTTTTCTTAATATTAATACACTGGAAGTGATACTTTTAACACTTGGAACAAGCTTTTGTAAAAAGACAAGAGAAACTTCTGAAATTTGGTATTTAAAATAGGTACGTGATTGAGAACAACATATTATATTTATAAGCGTTAAATGTATTTTGGAATTGTGCTAAATGCTATGAGAATAAATTCATTATGAAGCAATTAAATGTATTAGCCTTAGTCCACAATTTCATATTCATTTCACTTTTCCAATAAAAGAATGCTGTCACCAAATGTTACTGTTATGTGTTATTTTTAAGGATACAATTTAGCAACTATACAAAGAAATGGACTGACATAGTTGACACTATATTGAGAATTCTAAAGATTTAAAAAAAATATATGATTAAGTCATTGATTTGTGAATCCGAAACCATATATGACCACAGGATGACTTCATGTATCATTATTTTTTTTTTATATTTGATGGGAGGAATGAATACTAAAAAATGACTAGTGTTTATAATTAAGACTGAGCCATAAAGTTAACAAATTAATTAGATTTCATTTATAAATGATCAACTAGATACTGATAATACTGATAGTTCACTTAAAGCTCGTTACTATTCTGTCAATTCCACGTCTCAAAATGGTTAGAGATGTGCTGGCCACATTTCTTAAATCTGAGGAATATTTAGTTGCAATATTTGAAAATAACAGAAATCTGGAATAAAAACAAGTGAAACATATCATCCATCTTCTGTGAAATATACCATCTGCTTTTTTAACAATTAACAAGAATTCAAATGTAACTTTACCAGATGTTCTTTAAATTCTATATGGGGAACATATTTTTATATGTCCTAAAAGCAATTATTTTCTGAAAGCTTTACAAATATATTGCACAGTCAATCACAAAAACAATTGCCATTGGGACTTAATCTCTTCTTATACTGGCATGGCATCCATCCATATAAGAGATCATTCAGCTACCATGCAACTAAAAAAAAATTATTTCAACAAAAAAGTGTTTTTTAAAGCATAAAAAAATATGTTACATAAAGACAATAAAACTTAAATTTATAATTTCACTTTTAATGTTACACAAAATTTAAATCCTTAATAACAGCACAATCAAGATTAAATATCCTGTTACATTAAAAACTTCATTAATATCTAATTCATCAATCATCTGTATATTTTGTATGTAATCAGCCTTTATGAAACCAGTCATACAAGAAGAAATTCCCAATAAGTTACCGAAAAATAGAAATCTGGTTTTCATATAAAAAGCAGGAAATTATGCTTAATTCTTTTCAGTCATTTCCTAAAATATATTTGAAAATTCCAGAACAAGTTAAAATAGGTTCCCGGATAAAAGACCACTGGACAAATCCCATTGTGATAACTTGCCCGTGCAACAAATACCTATGTGGATAGCAGCCAGTGACACACTTATGAATATAATTTACTTAAATAATTATTAAATACAGCAGTATTATATATCCATAACATTTAAATGTTAAAATACAGTAAAAGCTGGACTATCAACTAACTGGAAAATTTTTAATTTCAGAAAATTTAAGTGACATATAAAGCAGGGACAGGCCTCCAGAAACCCTGCTGATAACTTCTAAATTGTGAACAGATTTACATTTACACACCTTTCTTACATTCCCTCTTCCCCACTGTTATATCCATCATACTGTTCTAAGAATTCCTCCAGAGAATAGGCCTCACCCAAGGCTAACAGTAACTATAATAGTCCTTATTGTTGGCTCTGATTCTTCTCACCAGTTGTGGGAAGTTACACACAGTTCAGTTCCCATTAGAAGTCCTTTGTTACTACTAGAGGGGAACATAGATTTCTTGTGGTGAGCAAAAAGGACCAAGGTCACTGCATAGAGTGGAATTTGGAAGTGCACTTGAACACAGGTGTTCTATCAGAAATTGTTTTCACCTGTTTTACTAACAGATTTTTCATTAAATTGGTCCTCAAGTTGAATAGGCTATAGGTAACAATTTCTAAACATCTTTTAGTGTGACAGGAAATTAATATTGTATCTATTTTGATTAATTATCCATCTACTGACTGAAAATCTTTGCCAGAACTTGACTGCAAAAATGGAAGATTCTTCAACATATAAAAAACAAAATAATTAAGTTTTGAAAAAGGTGAAAACAAGCAAAATTTAATGAAAGACTTTAGCATCGGATTAATTATAATTTATGACATTAAACTGGGAAAAAAAAATGAATGAACAATGGTGATACAAAGTGCAAAATTATCATACAAAATTTAAGTTTTTGATATGCTATATCCTTAACTTGAATCATGATATTAAATAAAAATTGGCCATTTTCTTTAAGCTCCCACTGGAATGAATGGTGCAAATTTGGCAACATCTCCTTTAATTTTCATGATGACATTTAATAAGAAGATATTTTAATTTCATATGCCAAAAGCATAGCAAATACATACAAATTTATGTGTGAAGTTTTTTTTAAACGTTACATAATTAATTGTAGGCTTTTGATTAGAAGCTGATAACAAATAAGAAGACAGTTTTTATAGTATTAGACCTGAAATTTCTTTCTCCATTAACAGGACTTTTTGCCAATTGCATTTTATATATTATTATCCGGAAATTTTATTTATCAAGAATTTGCATATCCCAAGCATTTCATAGTCCATCTCTTACTGTGTAATATATACGAGAGTCAAAATATGTATTATTATAGTAGTAAATGTGCTAATGAAATAGCAATAAAATCATAAACTTAATTAATTACTGCAGTTAAACCGATTTTTACATTTCATTTCATTGAAATTTTATTATCATTTTCACATATTCCTTTAGTTAGGGATAGATTTTTTTTTGTTCCTTAGTTAGGGATAGATAAAAGAGAAATCTTAAAAATTGCATCCCTGACGCTTACTGAATATACAAATTTTTAGTAAATGTGCAAATAAAATAGCAATAAAATCATACAAACTTAATTACTGCAGTTAAACCAAATTTTTACCATTTCATTGAAATTTAATTATTTTCACATATTCCTTTAGTTAGGGATAGATTTTTTTTTGTTGCCTACATAAAAGAGAAAGCTTAAAAATTACATCCCTGATGCTTACTGAATATACAAATTTTATTTCATTTATGTACTGAATTTTTTTGATATTTCAATCTTCACTTAAGTTACATGCTCAGATTTATTTTGAAAGGAAGAATGCCTGGAAGTAAATAATTTTACATTTTATTCAAGTTGGCTCAATCTTGAAGGAAATAATTCTTAATATTTCTTCTTTATTACCTATTGCTATGTAACACTTCAAGAAGCGTTTTTTTTTGCGATTTCTATTTTAAAGTTATTTGGGAAAATGCTTTCAGTTTACTTACACAGAGCATATTTCTTCATACCCTATGTATACATGAACTGATTTATTAGCTTAAAAACTGATCCAATATACATTCTTCCACTTATGGAATTTTTCAAAATAAGATGAAGACTGACTCCAAGACATTGAGGATTTTGATTAAAAAAATAACTTTTTCTATAGCTCCCAGAGAGAAAAATCTCCAATCAGCAAAATATGCACTGATCTGTTAAAAAAAATTCTATCTATGTTCGAACTTTGCAAAAGTTAATGTTTAATTGATTAACAGAACAGGGCATTGTAACGGCTTAAGCTATTGTATCGACCACCACAACATTCTGAGAAAAAGAATGGCGGCTTTGAAAGTTCCCATGGACAGAGCATTTCTTAACGAATTCTCAGAAAGAAAGTGACCAGCAGCCACAAAACAAACTCAAGTTTTTGTTCCTCTTATAGTTGTCCGAAGGGAGACATTGTTCTGTTCCCTTTCATCAGTTTATAGGTGCGTTGTCTCAGACCACCTGGTTTGAGTCCCCAGGCTGTCTTCATTATATCCGGTTTTTAATCAAGGTTCTCTTGCCAGTCAAGAGGCACTTTTAAAATTACGAACAAATGAGGATCCTCAATATTTTTTCAACATGCCCAGGACAAACTTGGAACAAAATCACGGAACACAGTTTTAGAGAAGGAGTGAGAGTGAGTTACAGTAAGTGAAGAGAGAAACCTTATCTTGGTTTTTCCAGCTTGGCCATGCGCAAATTTTATTTCGCTCTGCGTAGAGTGACATTAATATCTCTGCCAAGAGTTTACAGTGAGGTAGCCGGGCTCGCGTTACCTTACCAGACAGCATCCAACTCAGTCCGGGAACCACTGACTTGGAGAGACGATTAATTCTAAACAGCCTCGTCTTGAATTATTTTGAAACAAGAGCTTTTATCTAGAATCAGTGCTAAATGGAAACTTTATTCACAATGTCTGGTTGTTATAGTTCCCCCCCCTCACCCTACAGTGAGTTTATTTATTTTTGCATATAGCCTAGAAAGAACTCCAATAAATTTATTTACACTACCTCTTGCCTTCTGAATTCGTCACAGCATGGAGGACTTCATAAAGACTGGCTCATATTTACATACACAGTATGAGCAAAGCTATAAAAGCAGTGTGAAACTAGCCTCTTTGCCAGCATTCAAACCTTTGTTAAGTGATAAAAGTTTAGAGCTGTTTTATTCACTTAGCCACAGGTGAAACTGATAGGGTCAACTACCCTCAGGATGTTTGTGACAGCAGTCGTATGCTTTTTTTTTTAATCAATTAACTGAATATTAAGAAGTTTTTATTGTGAAAATAGTACTTATTACAAACTAAGAGTCATCCTTTTTGAAAGTCGAATTCCTTGAACTAAAATTTTTGGTAAGCTGGCCCTTTCTTGAATTGCTTTATAACTGTTTTCTTACCTTCCTTTCTTGCTAAGTCAAAATCAGACAATATCCTTTTGCATTAGAGGTCATATAATGTCCTTTGTGAAATTTTGAAATACGAAATAGTTTATCTTGTGATCTTTTAAGAGAAGCTGCATGCCTTCTTGTGGCAATTCAAAAATGTATTAAAAGGTAGTTTTATAAATACAATCTACATTTCCTCCATTTGGAACACCATGAAAATTAACTATTTTAAATCTGCATTTTTATCCTAAGCTCTAAAACATTAATGCCCTAATTGCCAAATTTTTTATCTTGATGATAATCCCCAACTCTATGCAAATACGAATACCTTATTGTATTTTATTAAAATTAAAACATTTAAAAGTTGTGTTTTAGCTTCACACTGCTGGCAGTTACTGTTTCACTCTACAGATAGCTACTGATAAACATATATTCGATTACCTGCTGGGTTTTAATGGTTCATTTAAAAAAAAAAAAAAAAAAACAGAAAATTTGAAACTAGTATATGCACTTCTGATATATAGCTATAAATAATAGATTTGATTAACAACTTGTCTTAATTTAAAAATGTCAACGAAATAACATCTGCTAATGAGTAAAGAAAGTATATCTGACAAGTGAAAAATTAAGACTACTCAGTCAGTTTAGGACCACCGTTGACTCTCCCAATATTAGTAATAATAAAAATTAAATTGAGATATTACGAATTTTTCTCAGGGGGATTATTGAATACATTTTCTTCTTTGAAAAATAAAAATAGAATTTCTATTAAAAGGAATGAATTTACTCATTAACATATTTAAAATGGAATTAAAAGCGAAGTGCAATCAACAAACCAAGTAATTATTGTCCTGACCAGAAATTAGTTGACTTTTATAATTAATAGATGCGAAAGAGTTTCGTCTTTTTCTCCAGTAAAAATCAAGATTTAAAAAGCTGTTTAGTAAAATTATTCAAATTGCTCATAAAAAAACAGAAACTGGTCATTCTATCAAACTTGAAATGCAATCTTCAAATCGGAATATATAATTCTTATAAGAGCAAGTTTTATTTTCTTACCTGAAAAAATTGCTTTATGACACTTCTGCCTTTGATTATTTAAAAACAATGCAAACTTTGTAAAAACAAGTGTACAAAAACATATTCTCATAAGACAAAAATGAAAATTTAACATTAAGA